ATATATATATATATAGTTGTCATGTAGATTTAAATATACATCAGAGACTGCACGCCTGTGACACAGCTGAGGAGAGTAAAATGTGTGAACTGTCTAAAGAACTTTTTAATTCTCACTGAGAAAAAATAACCTTTATCAGCACAGCAGATTAAATCAGAACAGTTCACCTGTGATGAGGGAGACAGCGTGTTTTTGATATCACATCAAACTAATTACAATTAGATATTTTACAGTAGATCCTGAGCTGAGCCATGCAGCTGAACGAGAGACTTCATGATTCTTAAATAAAGTTCTAAGATCTACCAAACTTATGAGTTCTTTTGTGTTACAGTCATGTATTACAGACATGTAAAGACGGAAATGTTGATCGACCTCATATGCTGCTGAAGACAGCAGCTTCACACACGCATGTCCGTGCACACACACACTTTTCTTTTGCACGTGTCAAATACATTTTTACAGTCCACTACTTATTTTGACGCTACAAACAGCTTGTTAGTTTGTAGCGCTAGCACCGAGCTAATACTTATAAGACAATATAGCATCAGCGCTAGTGCGAAGGCTAACAGGCTAAACCCTGAAACATACTTGCTCCAATGCCGACCGGTTGACGTGCGGTCACATGGTTGTTCAGCATTCGTTTTCGCACAGACCTTTCATAGCTCCAGAGACACCCCGTGCCGAGCTCCTAGGAAACCCCTCCCGCTGCAACATACGTCACTGCATGGAGTTTCTTGCCGCTACAGCCGACAATGCAGAAAATACAGTCAGACTCGTCACTCACCCGACATTATTTATCCACATCTGTCCTGGTTAAAGCTCCACAGTCAGATTCATCAAGTCAGATGGTCCAAGAATCCAAGAATCTGACTGATGACAAGCCATCAGTCAGATTCCTCCATGCACAACATCTGTTTAATCTCCATTCATGAGTTTTTCACGGTTTAACTATCTTTATAAAACCCTGCTTCCTGGTAACAGTCGGCTCTGGGAGCGAGTCGTTTTCTTATTTTTTTTAATTTTACCGAGCTGAACTGTCTGAGCGCTTTCAGCACAAACAAACACGCCCATAAACTTCAGACCAATCACACATTACTGTCGTCGCAGGAGGGGGCTAAAAATTTCTGCCAGTGGGTTGTGCCAAAAGGAGCGGCTGAGCTGAAGCTGCGAACACTGGTGACATAATTTTCGTCATGAAACTGCGACAACCCGTGCCGACATCGGCAGTTCAGAGGGAGTATGAAGACAACTTAAGCTGAGGTTCTTCTTCCATGAAGCAGCTCTGTTGTCCTCCATCCATATTTTCAGTTCCAGGCTGAGTCATTTCTACCTTCTCCTCTCTGGCTGTGTCCAAAACGACAGGCTGGGTCTTCCGGAGGACCCAGACTCCCCGGTCTTGGCAGGCCGGGTCCTTGGTAGACCGGGAAGACCGGAAAAAAAGAGGCTGTGAATTTGGACGGTCTAGCCTCCCCTCCTTACCCCGGCGTACGTCTTGTCACCTAGCAACTGTGACGATGCTAAACAAGCAAACTTAAATCAAAACTAGAAAAATATCAATACATTAGCATTATTAATATCACAAAACTATAAAATTAACTTAAAAGTATCATAATTGACCTAAGAACTAATTGACCCGCTGTAGG